GAGGACACTTCACATATGAGTACTGACTGTGCTTACACTGCACTTGTACGGTACACATATGCCAGGATGTCAGAAAGTTTTATTTTTCATGTCAAGCACTGGGATACATATTTATTAACCACCTACCAAAACATCAGTCCTTAATAGAATATGATAATAATGATGTGTTGGTGAAAGTGTTTGAATTAAAAAAATTGAACTAGTTTTTAAGTTGAAGTAGGCAAAAGTCCCCATCATACTTTGAATTTGTCTTCTATTAACAAGGAAGTAAGGTACAAATGAATATGTTTTGTTTCGAAGTTTGAACAAGCAAGCAATCTTCAGAATAAGTGCAGCCAAGCACTAAACTAAATCGACTAAACAACATATAACCAGTTACATCACAATGTTACAGTTTCCTTATTACACATTTTGAAATGGTTCTTTGATGTACTTAAAGGAGCAAGATGTAACTGACACCTAGCGTTTCTCCTAGGTCCAAATTCAAACATTGTAGAGAGCTGTCTCCCCTCCCCCTCCTCCCTAGAGACCATGTGCACACAGGTTGCCATGTGGTGGACACTGAAGCTTCAGTGTTTAGCCAGCTCTGCATCAGTCTGTAAACCTTTCTGTGTTCTAACCTCTCTCCATTTTTCAAAAACATTTCCAACATTGATCCTAGTTTGAGCACGTTTCTGCTCGTAGAGCTTAATAGAAACATGTAGAGGCTTTTTAAGTCAGGTACAATCACTTCTATCTGAACCACTTCTCTTTCCCGCTTCCATCGCTGCAACACCTGTTGGTTTGCTGTTTGCCTGGCAAACTGAGGAGCGTCCAAATGGCCGCTTGGGGGTGCCGTAAAACCGCCTACCTTCTCTGGTCCAAACAAATCCAGAGCATTCAGGACCAGAATCCAAACATAGAAAGAGGACATACTGGCTGCTGCATTGTTGTGAGAGAAGCCAGCACTTCAACATAACATGTTTCCTTAATGTCTGATCATATGGTAAGGTCATTTTATCATTTCATTCTCTAGATATCTTGAATTTTGCTACATAGATTACATACATACATTCATCAATTCCATGCTTAATATTCCTCCACAAAAAAATGTTCAGGCTTTTTCAAAACTGGTGAAAACAAAATCCTTGATTTCTTGCTTTTTACCTTACGCCAGCTCAGGTGAGGTTTTTTTTTTAAACATGTGCAGTCACTGTTGTATTCTGAAGACTTTGAAAATGACTTTCCCAAAGCCTGCCTCTTCTTGTTGTCTGACAAAATGACAGGGTGATGTGAGGCCACTGAATCTACTTGATGTGATCAGAGTCAATTGCAGGTTGTATTTGAGCCTTCAATCAGTAGAGCGTAGAAAACGATCCTCCACCGCTTTCTCTCTCTACTCGCTGCATGACTTTTCATCCTTTTCTTCACAGTTTCTCTTACACTTAGGATAATGGGAGCAACTTGAAAATAGCGATGTATAATTCATGTTTTTCTTCTTTGAAACCCTACCTAATATCTTCCCATATTACTATAGATGAGCGGCGATTCTAGAGTCTGTTGGGGCCCTAAGCAAAATTCACTGTGCAGCCCTCCAACTAGCATTCACCGCCATTATGTTAAAAAAATAACCTGACACCAACGGCAACTTTAAGTGACACATCTAAGTTTTCACAGAAATATTGGATGCAACAAAATTGAGTACTGTCAGATGGGACCCCTTAAGGGAGGTTTTCTACTGTTAATGCAAAATTCAGAGCCGCTGTTAAATATAGTTTAAAGTTTGTCAGTCCTGAGTAGGAAAAACTGAGCATCAAACACTGCAATCTTTCTGGTGTTTCTTTGTGAAACAATTTGGCTACAATTTATTTTTATTTTTATCATGGAAAGTTATTTCATGTATATAATAAACATCTGATACGTCCTGCATGGAAATCAAATGTCACATTGTAGCAGATTTCATGTTAAAGATATCATTCAGGGGCACTGGGAGCCTAGTGGTTAGTGTGCGCCCACCACGGAGGCTTGGTCATCCAGGCGGGCAGTCCGGGTTCAAATCCGACCTGTGGCTACTGTCCCGCATGTCGTTCCCCTCCCTCTATCTCTCCCCCCCCCTGATTTCTGACTCTGTCCTGTCTCTATAATAAAGGCATCAGTTATCATTCAGATGGATGACCAACATGACAGACTGAGAGAGAAGTTTACTTCTTCAGCTCACCATCTTACAGAATTATTTATATTATCATCTTTGAAAAATGCATCTGAAATCTTTTGTGTACGCCTGTCTTTGTAAAGAGCCAAAAATCATTGTCTGAACAGGAGAGTGATGCTCACAGCGTTAGCCAGACAGAGGCCACTTTGTTGTTAATTTCATTACCTTGCAGAGATGAAATGGAAAAAAAACAGAGCGAGGATAGAGAGAGGTGGATCTAGTTCAAGCATCTGAGTGCGCACAGAGATTCTTCTGTATTTCAATTTGCTGCGTCTTGTACTGCTCCATGGTCTGCAGTTTAAATGGAGGGCTTTTATGATGCAAATGCAGGCAGGAGTGATAAATCTCTCTCTCTCTCTTTCGCCTCTCCTGGGCACCCCTGATGCAAAAAGATGTTCTCTCTCTCTCTCTCTCTCTCTCTCTCTCTCGCTCTGCTCTCACTCGCACTCACTTGAACTCTTCCTCACTTTCTCTCCGCTGCAGCATCATGTTACACTCGCCCCCAGGCCACATGAAAAATGAATCAGGCCCAGGTGATGCAGTTGAGTGGGGTAGGGAGGGGCAGAGAGAGTGAGAGAGGGGTTTGGGAGAGATAGGGAACATGCAGATCGAGAGAGAGAGAGAGAGAGAGAGAGAGAGAGAGAAAGAGAGAGAGACCCCAAAAAAGCTATGCTTTGACTTTCCTCAACTACTTCTGGGTCACCTTAATTTGTGAGAGGAAAACACTCAGTCACTGATACATGCATGTGTATTTACACTCACATACAGCCCAAAACAACACACACACACACACACACACACACACACACACACGCATACACACACACACACGCGCACACACACACACACACACACACACACACACACACACACACACACACACACACACACACACACACACACACACAGACACACACACGGCTTAAGTACTTCCAGTGAGTAATCAGATTTAATTGTAGTGATAGTAAGTAGCTACAAGGACACTGGCAAGTCTTTTTCAGTGCATCTAAGAAGTTTGTTTCCAGGTCCGTGTCTTCTCTGTTCCCTGGTAATAGAATCTCGTAATTTGGAGTTTCATTGAGGTTTATTTGGCTGAAGTGTCAAATCAATGAGTGTTATCCACCAGGCAAAAACACTTCCACAAAGATCACTCTCATGTATCCTCGCTTGTCTCTCCTCCAGGGGTGTGTCCAGACTTTTTGGGCTGTGGTGGCCTACTAGGAGACTGACTTATGCAGGGGGGGGGGCATGAAGTTTACACATACACATATAAATTAATTTCATATTTACCCTTTCTTTCCCCATTAATAATCTGTACTTGTAAGTAACAGAATTTGGCAACATCTACGTATTCTAAGCTTCACTCTTTGAAGACTCTAGTTTGCAAAAATGCATTTGTCTGCAAAGTTTCGGTACCCAGACATTGCAAGTAAGTGCTTTGCAAGTTAGACGATGTGCTATAGTTAGCTTGAAAATCTTTATGGACTCATTCCTAAGAACCTGTCTTATGAGATAGATGTGCTTAGTATTTATTTACAGCTGAGAGAAGTAAGCAGCCTGTTATTACACAGCCTGAATAGTTCATTTTAACTAAAGTCCAGCCTCTGATAAGGTACATAGCCAATCATAGTCTGGGATTTTGTGGTGGTACCTGGGATGGCCAATCAGATTTCAAGGCGGGCCCATGCAAACCCATGGACACGGCCCTGCTCTCCTCAGATCTCCTTCCTTTCTAGTCAATCCTCTCTCCTCACACTGCATTAAGAGATTTGGAACGATGCTTAAGATGGCAGGACTTGAACTTCTTCCCGTATGACGAAGAAGCGAGGACAGAGGATATAAGGAAGCTTAGAAGCAGCTATGTCTCCGAGCCTCTCAGTTTTTAAAGTTGAGCCTAGCTCTGTGCATATCCAGTGTGTTTTTTTTTCTGGGGCTCTCCCTCCTCTTTAGATTTTGATGCCAATAAATAATACAAGTGTCACATCCTTCTCTTGCCGGAGAGAATTAAACTTCTAAATTAGACTGACTAAATTAATTTAATTTAACATTAGACTATAGACTTTATTGTCCCCATGGGGACATTTTTTTTCACAGCACCGTTACGGTCAACACAGACAATTTCCACCAAAAGATCAGTACATACACAAAACACAGAACACAAACAATTAGAAGTTCCCACTCTGGCCTGTTCAGCGAGGCCTTTTGTTTAGGGCCGCTACAACAGCAGGTATCAGGCTCCGCCCCGGGCGAGCCTTTCTGCACCACATTGCTCTAATAATACCTGCTGAAAGTTGTGAACTGACTTTCACAAAGCAATCCTCGTTAGCACCGGACTCAACAGGCACACAAGTGCAAAAATAGTACTGAGGCTGATGCACAGTATCCGAGACTTGCAGAGACTCTGGACATGCCATTATGACAGCTATTCTCATTTTCAACATCGTCAAATGCGTTTTTCTCTCAGTTAGATAGGAGACCGGTGTTTGTCATTGAGCCGCTAAATGGAACCTTATTTCCCTTTCTGAGACACCGTGTGGATCCATTTAGTATTTAGTAACAAAATACAGCTATATCCCTCTCTTTTTTCACCATACGTGTTTTTGCATCTCTGCAATAATACAACAAGAGGATAAAGAAAAAGAGAGCCAGATATAATCATAGTGTATACATACACATAAATAAACCTTTACACACTTATTATATGTTATTGTGTTGCATATGACAGAAGATATTAAAGAAGTACTTAAAAATGTGAGATTCAACAGTGCTTTAATGAACATCTGCTGACCCCGAGCCTGTCTCTCCACAGGGGGAGGTGGTGGATGTCCAATATGGGGGCGTGGATGACCTGCGGAGAGCCAAAGACAGCCTGAACCTCACCAACCAGATCGCTGCAGTCAAGCTTGGCCAAGCACCCCTGCTGTACAAGGTAAAATCAAATCAATGCTCCGCGAAAAGCTTCTGCTCTACTCTGCTGGCTAGGGATTCACACCTGGGATTGAATGTTGCACTTGTGATCCACCTAAGACTATAATCCTGCAACAGGAAGAATATTCACTCTGGAATGAGATCTTTTGATCTTTTGAAATAAGTCTTATCCCAATGTGTGAAAAGCTTTTTCATATGAGAGGCTTTAAACTGAGTTTCCAAGATAGTGTGGGGTATTTTAGCGGGGTTTTCTGTCAAACAGCCTGAAAAACTGGAGAAAACACAGGTGTAGTCGAATAATGCAGTGATGGCGTTAACCCCTAATTTCAGCCAGATGCGTGTTCAATCGTTCTCCAGTCCGCTATGGCAGCAGAGTTGATAAGTTTTTACTTTATTCAATGTGTGTGCTTCTACTGGCTCCGAACTGTTTTGCCGGTTCAGAACAATGACCTTATGTGTATTTGTTCATGTGTTTATGTTGTTTTACACCACATACTGTACATCGTATTATCTCGCACTGTCGCAAGTGTAATCTATAATTGCCACGGGAATTCCTTTGTCCTGACACTCCAGCTGTCCGACTGTGCTGCTCCGAGCTGCCCACATAGACTGTAAATATCTGAGTGACGTCAGCCATCTGTTATGGCCGAGGGCACTAGAAATCCAGTGTGTGTCAATGATGACAATAACTAGTCAGACATATTTAGTTTTTTGTATCAAGCTGTAAACATATTATTTTATGCTGTAAACATGTTAATTTATGTTGTGGTGTGTATGTGACTTCCGGGGTTCCTGGAGCCATCCTCAAGCGGACACTCGATGAACTGCAGGATTTTGCCGCTTGGCTGCGCTCTGAGAATGTAGCCTGTGGGTGTTGACGAGCGAGAGTGAACAGAGCTGTAACACAACAGAGCGGACACGCAATGCACACATATCTGGTGGAAGTCCTGGGTTATTGGTTTTAGCCGGCCTCCCAAGCTGCAGTGAAAGATATTTTTAAAAGTGCCAAAAATGGAATAAATACTATGTACAATATTTACAACACAAAGACTGCAAAAAGGCAAAAGTTCCACTTGAACAAATAAAACAGGAGCACTTCAAAAGTAAACCGCAGCTGTTACCTTTTCTGTCAATGAAACCACTCTTCTTCTTTTCCGGCAGCCTATAGGCACACTGTGTGCATTGCTGCGACCCACCAGTGTGATGACGATGATCATTTTTGCCACTATCAGGCCTAAATCCTGGGATAAATACCTGTGTATTTAAGGAAACATATCACCGCTTTAGCGCTCTCTTTTTGTAAGTCTTAATTTCCTGATATTGTTCTCAGAGAGGTCTGAGCACCGAGTTTTGTAAGTACACTAAGGTTAAAAATCAGAAGCCCCACAGGGCGACATTTAAAAAAAAACAAAAAAAACATTTTATTATGGATTAAAGGATTTTAACCCTTTAAACTCATATATTTTAAACATCAACAATTTTAACATTTTATTCAACATTTTATTTAACACCTCCAACAAAATACTGGTGGAAATACTGTGAAAAGAAAACATTTAATCACACTATTCAAATCATGTGACCCTTACTGCGTGCCAGATCTGTCTATTTACTATACGGAAACGGGCCTCCTCCGTTTGACACAAAGACGGGACATAATGAAACGCATGAGCGACACACCACACGGTAAGAGCGCTACGAAGTCTCATAACAGTATGTAAGATAAAATCAAGCTCTAAAGTGTGCACCCTTGTAACAGAACGCTATGTAACAGAACTTAAGGAGGATAATGTCATGATTTACTGAGTGATTAGAAGCACTGGCAGAGAGGGAAAAGTTTGGCACGTGTGTGCCGTGTGTGCGCTGCTTGCTGGTTTCACTGGTTTCTAAATAAACTTACATTCAGAGATGGCTTACTGCCCTTTGAGGAAACTAGATACATCGTGCTAGAGAGGGGTTTTTCAAATGAATGACAACTGAATTCAACTGAGTATCATAGTTGTCTCTTTAACTTGCTCTTCTTCAGCTCAAACATTTTCAGCATTAAAAAAAACAAAACGTTTTAATTATTTGATTATGGATAATCAGAAACAAGTTTGAAATTCAGATACATTCTGCAAAGTCAGAAAACCCAAAGACAACAGAAATAAATGGAGAAATATATTAACTCACATGAAAGATAAGTAGATGTTTGTGCTCAATTTTGGTAGTAGGAAATGTTAAGACATCCGAACAGTAAAAAAAAAAAACAGACTAAAAACCCATTGTCCCCCCTAAAATGTACTGCCCTTTGGAGAAAATAAATATATCATGCTGGACAGGGTTCAATAAACTGAAAGTCGCTATATGTACAAGGCCACTCATGCATTGAACCGGCAACCTCTGGTTCCCAACCTGAGTCCCTTCAGACTGAGGCACTGCTGCCCAACACATGGAAACAACACATTGGAAATGCAGACAGATTGAACAAAATCAGACAACACAACCAAACCCCTAGGAAACACAGCAGAAAGAAATGGAGACACAGCCTTCAAATTCAGATGACACAACAAATACAGAAAGATAAGAAGATTCAAACAACCTAACGGTGGAAGAGTATCCAGACCACCCTAGAAAATGTAGTACAAATCTTACTAATGCTATTCAATTTATATACAATTTGTGACTAATGGTTATTTATTCAGTAGTTTGAAATGTGAAGACATCCAAACTGTTAAAAAATATTGACTAAAAGCCTATTGTCCCCCCCAAAAAATAAAATTTATTGCACCCCATGTCAGAAAAATATCCCTTTAGATTGGTTTGACATAAACCTATTATTGTTCAATTTAGATTAAGGTGTCATCGAATGCATCAATTTAATCCGGCCCCATGTAGAAGAATAGGGCTTACATACAAAGAGAGAGTTTGCTGTATTTTGTGGAAAATCACTGAGAGCCTGACAGTTCAGGACCATGGACAGAGCCCAGCAGTGCCTCAACTAGCAGTGCACTGAGATTGTTTTTTCCCCATTCATTTTTCAGACCATTGGGCTTTAGTAGTGATCAAAACAACCTATACTCAACATCCACCTGGCAGCTTTTCCAGGATATTTCAACAGTCTTACACAACCTCCATCAGCAGATGTGTGTTTTGCTCTTTAAAGTTGAAAGCTCTGGTAAGAGCTGCTAAAAGGACCCTTGATTGTGATTCAACAGAAGTCCAACATTTCCATCTGTGTTGAAAGAAAAAAATCATTGCTGTGAATTAAAAATGCAAATCACAAAACTGGATCGTTCAGCTGTTTCCTTTTTGCCTTCTAATTTGAACATTGCTCTACTTCTGAATGTGAGCTTAGTGATAAACGACAGGCTAACGAGGTTGCCAAAAAAAAAACGAGATGGGATGTCAAAAGCGGGGTCAACATATTGCATTTACATTTACACAGTCAGACTTTTAAAAATCCATTAAATCACACTGCACCTCCTGCCACATGGGACCCTTCCAGCAACAGACTGCTGACCCATTTTTCCTCCTCGCCCACAGTTTGTGACAAATTTGATCAGGTGTGCTTCATAATGTCTCTGTGTGTCAGCAGCTGAGAGAAATGATCGCCCTTTACAGAGAAATGGGGAGGAATGATTGATGAGCCTTGTACTCGCACTAATGAGTGTGTGACGGTGACTGCAGGCCCAATGTTACACATACAGCTGGATTCAAGTACACACAAGGAACACATGTCCGGACCATATTAGTGTAACTCAATTGGTTACGGTGTTGTAATCCTCAATCTTCGAATGACCACAAGGTCAAGATTGCTATTGTTAGGGTGTAAGACAACACAATGGAAGGAATGAAACAAAGTCATTTTTTTGAGTCAGTGTATCTGTACCTGGCACCACTGGATCAGTGTTCCTTTGGGATTGTTTTTAATTATTACGCAGATGATTTACATTTGTACATGCCTGTTTTCTTAGGAAGTGGTAGTGTTGTAGTATTCAAAATTGGTCTTGGTCTCCAGACCGGTCTCGACACCACTTTTTGAAGGTCTCGTCTCGGAATCAAAAGCATTTCTAACTGATCTTGTCTCGGTCTGAGACTGGGTGGACTCTGGATTGTAAAACAACACCGGATGATTGTGTTATTCCAAGGTGAGGCTACATGTTTTAAGCACCATATCAACCAGATCCAGCCGACTTAGGGCTTCGGGACCCAGCCGCCCTGAAAATCGTTCATCTTAGGTCGTATGGTCTGTCATAGTAATGACAATCAAGACCAATTCTGACCTCCCAACACAAACTCTAGCATTTGTAATTTTTCTTTCTTGCTTCCAAGATGTGTTCCATCACAGCAGTAACGTATCTAGTATCTATACTGCTTTTCCCATTTGAGTCGAGAGGTGGGTTACACCCTGGTTTGGTCGCCAGTCAATCACAGGGTTGACATATCGAGTCAGACAACCAGCCACGCTGACATTCACAGCTGCGGGCAATTTTAGAGTCACCAATTAACCTAAGGAGCATGTCTTTGGACTATGGGAGGAAGTCAGAGAGAACCCACGCATGCACGTGGAGAACATGCAAATGCCACACAGACGGGCTCTGTCCGAAGGGGATTCAAACCAGTACCCTTCTCGCTGTGAGGACACGTACAGCCCCCTCTTGAATGCATTAGGCTTAAATTGTTATAAAACTTTCATTAAAAGCAGCATTATAAAAATATATAGCATGATAAATGTTGATATTGATCAATTTAGAATACAATAAAATTATATTTTTTCCACATCGAGCAGCTGGGGGTGGCAGTACCTCAGTCTGTAGGGGCTTGGGCTGAGTTGCCGGTTCAAGTCTCGTTGCACACCAAAATATGGAAGTTAGTCTGGTAGCTGGAGAGGTGCCAGGTCACTTCCCTAGTTCTGCCAAGGTGCCCTTGAGCAAGGCACCAAACTCCCAACAGCTCTGGTGCACTCCGTGTAGCAGCCCCACTCTGACATCTCTCCACTAGAGCATGTCCATAGGTCCTGTTTGTGCATGTGTATATCTCAGGCCTATGTGTGAGAGCAAAGGTTTAAACAAAAAAAAAAAAAAAACAACAACATCCCCCTCTGCCCCCTTGAAAAAAATCTGATGAAATGTCTTCTTAAACTTCAAAAATGTGGTCATATAGTTGTATGCTAATGCATTCCCATGCTTTAGCTTGTGCAGACTACTGTGCTCACTCATATTTCAGTGTGTTTTGTGTGTGTATGTGTGTGTTGCATAGAAATATTTGCATCAAGGTGTTTTGTGTAGTGTGTGTGTGTGGTGGTGATTTTGTGTGGGCTTTCTGTTTGCATTCATAAGGACGTGCTCGAGTGTGGCTTTGTGCATGCTTGTGAGCACTGTCCCTGTTTTTCCAGTGAAGGACAGAGTTGTGATGAGAGGAGAATGACCGTGGCTGGTGTCACATATTCAATAAAATAGTCATCTACACTCATAAAAGACAAGGACGCTACATCTCCCATGGACAACAATGAAATACTGCACTGCACAATGCAGCAGCAGCAGCACAATTCCCCCCAACCAGCACACTCCTCTCTATTATACCAGTGATGTTGACTAAATGAACAGGAACATGTATTTATACAACCATTCATATGGAGAGCAATGTCAGAAAGATAATATAAAAGAAGTCATGTTCACAAAAAAATCAAAGCTGAAAAAAAGGATAACACATACACACACACACAAACAGACACACACACATTCAGCATCAACAAACACAAGCTAACTAGTAAACGTAATCATAACCACCCAAATCACAGTAAAATTTAATATGGGCATGAATAAATCCTGATTTGTTTTGTTGAAACCTGTCGGCATAACTTTAGGACCCAGATTTATGAAATTGATAACTTCCTTTGGCTTAATTAATGCGCTGAATCACCACATTTGGTGAGTGGCAGGTGATAATTTCCTGACCTGCTACTTCAGCAACATTACCAAATAAGTCTTTAAAAACTGTACATAAGAAAACAATTCCAGTTCATAACTAAACATCTTGTTTAATTTGTACTGATATTTTGGGGAGTATAAATTCTACTTTCAGCCGCACTCATCCTTTTATTTTGACGGTGTTTTAAATGCCTAATGTGAACAGGCCCAGTCTTCTTCTTTCTTGTTGTTTTCATTAACTTTATATTCCTGCAGCAAAAGGGATCTCTGATAAAATGACTCATCCACCTGCAACAAATGAGAAAGACAAATTTAGCAATGTTGGGCATCGAGTGAAAAGACTATCCGGAGCCAGATATTTCCCCTCAGGATTTGTTGCAGCTATGTGTGTAAATTGGCTTTTTTTTTTTTTTGGCCTACAAGTATTATTTCTAACAAGCCTTAACAACTTTATTTGTGGTAATAAGCCAGTGTTGTTCCCTCTTGTTCCCAAACAACCAACATGTCTCTTTTTGATAATGTGTTTCCATTATTTTGATGTGTCAGTGAAGGTGTGAGTGGTTTTCCTGACTCTCATTAAAGCAGTGTGTTAGTCAGTACAGATGTGTCTGTCTGTCTGTCTGTCTGTCTGTCTCGTGTCTGGCTCTCATTGTGTCTTTGTGTGTGTCCAGCTCTCTCTGCTGTCTCAGCTGGGGTTTGGAGGTGTTCTGCTGTATATTGACCCGTGTGATGCTCCCCCCGGACGCCACACCTGGAACCAAGCCTTCAGAGTCACTCTCAACCCCGGAGGGAACCCTGCCATTGGTGAGTGAACACGGCTTAATGGGCAGATTGTACTTTTAATGTTTTTCTATCGAGGAAATCAGTGACTGTGTTTTTCTTTTTTAAAGACAAGAATCACAAAGTTGCGATGATTGTATTTAATAGTTTACATCAACCACGTATTTCAAACATCAGATGCAAATGTAAGCATTAAGAATAGTCTAGACCAGGGTTTCCCAGATTTTGTCATGGCCAAGGACCCCCATATATTATCAGCCTCTGGTGGTGACCCCACGCTGGTAAAATATCTAAAATGCCTTGTGAATAATAATGGCAATGGTAACAAATTAAACATTCTCCTATTTTTTAAAATGTATTGGCTGTTTACACTCTCTGTGATTTGGTGATGTGTAAGGGTACGGTTGGCTTTGGAAATGCAAGCAAGATCAGAGTTTACCGTACCAAACTATACTAAACCGAACCTGACGGCTTGGTGGAAAAGTGGCTTTCGAATCAAACTGCCGAGGGGACCATGGGGATCATATTTTATTGGCTGTCCTTATTTCATATGAAGCAGAAAGCTAAGGCAAGCACCAAAGAGTAAGCTCTCATAATGAAGTGATCCGGACTAGATTACCTAAAGTGGCCCACAGTGGGGTAAACTGTTGAAGGAAAGGTTTTCACAATATCTAAAGACACACAAGGCGATGGATAACCTAAAAACACGATGGCCCTGCTAGTGTCTGTAAGTACATCTTCCATGAGCTTATGAATCTGTTATTATCGAATGAGAAACAGGATTTGAAACTACAACACATTTAACACTGTCAAACTGTTGAAAACTGTCATTTGCACAGGAAATAATGGACAATTATAACCACCACTTTGAATTTGCAGTTCATCTATGAAACATTGCTTCGAGTCTATGCACACTGAGCGCTGATTTATTGTGAACAAAGAAAAAGGCTGTGTGCACTCAGTTGTAAAACAGTGTTTTCCACTACGATGAAACAATAACAGATAAGGAGAAAAAAAAAGGAAATGAAGAGAACAACTTTATTAGCACTAGAACCGCCAGGGGTCACTGTAAAGCTAAATTAACCAATGGTTCACTAGGAGTAAGTTGACTTGGGAATAAGTGAGGAACTTGGCAAAGATTCAAAGGTTGTTACGGCTGATACTGACAGTGTAGAGCCCTTTTACGATGTGGCAGTCTGAGGCCATAATGTGGATGCTTTCATGAATCTGGCTGAATTTATAAATATCTGTCTTTATCGCCGTATGATAAAGACAATGTTATCCTATTAGCTTTTAATCATGAGAAAATTGGCATCGTTGCTAGGGAACAAATAAGAAAATGAGGAAATACAAGAAGTTTGTCATTTATTGGTTCACTCACCATTAGTTTACCATAAATTGACCTTGTGCTTAACTAGAAGGTAGCTCATTTGTTCCACACTTATTCCCTAATAATATTGTCATCTATAGTTTAACTGTGGTATACATGTTGAAGGTTTGTTGATGGCTTTCAATTAGATGAGCAGTGGTAGAAAGAAGATGTTGCCATAGCAACGCATACTGTTTATGTACTTGTGCAGAATTAACAGCAGGAAAATGATTGCTTTCTCAAATGGGTACATTGGACCAGCATGGAGGATTTTAAATGGCCATTTTAAAAATGTGTATGTATGTGAACACCAGGTGCTTCATAACAAACTTGAAGGATAAGTCAAAAATTGTAACACTGTTAGACTTTAATATTCAATGTAAACAAAGTTACACACAGTTGAAACACACAATTGTACCCGCTGGCAGTTCAAGTGTTAACGCTCACATACTGTATTAGCCTGCTTTTCAACAAGTTTCAATAAGTCTCAGATCTCCGCATAACATGTCTGTGAAATTTCTTGCCAAATATCCGTTCTGATCCTGTATTTGATCATGACTATAAACCCCTCTATTTCAGCCCTGCTCAGAACAGACTGTTTCTATATCTGTAGCTTTAAATGTTAATGAGCTGTGTTTGACCACGCCCCCTCTTTAGAAGGGCTTGGGTGTATTGGGCTTTTTCTTGCTCCATGCCCTATTGTTAAGGTTGAGAAGGTAGATCAAACACATAGCTGTGGGAGTGTCGCCCGCCTGGGAGAGGGGTTACTGCCCTTTGTGATGTCATGAAGGGAAAATCTCCAAACGGCCTGTTTGAGCAAACATTTTCTGAAAAGTGGAGCAGACAAAAGACGGAGAGGATGGACTTTTCTCATATTTGGGGAATTTAATAGATAGGCAGGGACACGTGTTTGTGTTAGAAAAAGTGTATTATGCATAATATGTGACCTTTAAAGCTGAACAAGCCTTCTGTCTTACTCAAAATAAAATAGAAATAGTCTCCACATATCTTGTAGATACCAGATTAAATGTATTTTTCCCGTATTTTTATTCATTAATAATCCTTCTTGGTCTGTTAGGTTTAAAAAAAAAATCTTGTCAGGGCCTGAAACTTACTCACATTCCTGAACTTGGCCTCATACAGAGGACGTTCTGTCTCTCTGTATCTCTGTGACTCTTTCCTACTGTATTTAAATCACTCTCCCAAGATGAATGACCTCTCTGACACTCAGTCTTGTCCCCACTTCCTGTTTTCCTGCCCGGGCTGGCCAATAGGGACGTGTCATTACCGCTGAAGTATCTTTAGTCCTTGTAAGAGTCCCGCGCACCACAGTGGCAAGACCCAGTAGAGCCCCGCCAGATGTCTGGACTCCTGCATAAGCATGTGTAAGAGTCTCTGTGTGAGTGTGAGTGAATGTTTGAGCACGGAGGTGTGTTAAAGTGGAAGAGAGAGAGAGAGAGAGACAGATGCTGGCTGTCTAGTCTTTTGCCATTCGCAATGCGTTCAAGTCCCTGGTGCTAATTCAGCTCACAAGAACAGAATATGTGAAAGGACAGCTCATTACTCATATCAACCATCCTTAATTTATCTGCCAGAGACGGCCTAGGTTCAATCTCTATATTTTTAATGCTTAAAATATTATCTGAAATGAATGCTTAGAGGTGATGCCCTACCAGCTTCTGTTCTACCAATTAATCCTTTAAACGGAGATCAATCAGCAATTTCCTTAAAGTTCTAATCAAATATTAAAGTGTCATGTTGGAGTCTCACAGTTTTTTTTTATCTAATGCTTCACATAAAGTCTTTACTTTTGTAATGTTTTTTAATCATCTGAACACCTGAGAATATCATTAATAAGACACGACTTTTTGATCCCTTCAGGGGAATTAACACTCTACATCTGCAGAAGATGCAAAAGAACTGCTTCTCTTGAGATTACATACATTTTGCTTACATGAAATAAATTAGATAATATGATTAATTCAGTCAGTAGAGACTTAACGCTGAGTGAACAATTATTGAATCTAAAAGTTTAGAAAAAGAGAAATGTGCAGCGATTGAACTGAAACCACAAACTGACAGCGAAGGGGAGGAAAACAGATTTTCAAATATGACAGCAGCAGGATGATTGGCTGATAGAGCTCGTGGCAGAATCTGGTTAATTAAGAACCCAACCTCTAATCAGCTGAGCAGGACGAACAAGGGAGAGTGTCACGAATGAATGATGACTACTGAATGAATGTATGAACGAGTATGAAACAGTCTTTGGGTGACTCGAGCTTTCTTGCTCCTTGCCCAATTGTTAACGATAAGAAGCCAGACTCAGAGGGCAGAACAACACCTAGCTGTGGGAGTGTCACCCACCTGGGGGAGGGGCTACCTTTGTGATGTCATGAAGGGAATATCTCCAAACTGCCTGTTTGAGTGCACAATTTCTGAAAAGTGGAGCAGGCAAAATACATTATAATTGGGGCTTCGTAAACAGGCTAGGGACACATATTAGTGTTAGAAAAATACATATTTAGATCAAACTGTATCTTCTGCCGTCAGCTCTTTGCTGCAAGCTTGAACATAACAGATGGTATGTTGAATGTTGCACCTACAGTATGTGCTGTCACATGGTAAGACTGCTTTTTATTTGTGTCTAAATGCTGTTTTTAAATCTGTTTCCATCATTGCAAATCATTTTATCCAGCACATCTAACATATGCTTTAATATAGAGCCAGTAAAAATGAATGTTTGCATTCATGCTAATTTATTTTAAATCTCATCAACCATTCAACTGACAAAAAGCCTTTTTCTTCTGGATATCTAAGATCAGATGCGATATCAAACATGCATGTTGCATTCATCTTGGAGCATATTGCGAGCGCTCCAACTTAATTTAGCATAAATATGCTGGAAACTGGGTTTATGCGTGTGTTCATGCGTACATGAGTGCATGTGTGTGTGTTCTTTGTTAGACTGATCATGTTCTACAGAAATGTGTCCATTGACTTAATTCCAGGTTTTTAAATCTTTTGGCACGGGTGCATTCAGACATCTACATCCACATCTCATCTCTCGTTGAGGCTTTTTCATCTTCTACATGTATAATAAAGTGTGCAGGTTACTTCACTCATGTTGGTTGGTTCTTTGGTTGTCGGTGTTGGAGCTTGTGTAATGCTTAACTTGCAGTCATTACAACCATTAGCCACACAGTATTGATGTGACTAAATTGCGAGAGAAGGCTTTTTTTTTGGAGTTAGGATGAACCAGTAGTGAAAGTGTTAAGTCATCATGTACTTGTTCAAAGAAAAACACACAACTCAATATGATAGTTGTTACTGTAAGAATCTCAGCTTGTGAAAAATAAAGACCTAACGCATAATTTGGTTGCAGCTAAAATAGCTTCGGCTTAAACTTGAACCCTTTTAACATGTTGGTTAATATTACTTAACAGTTTCATACAAAGTACAAATGAATTTTCCGTATCATAAAAAAAAATGAGGTCGGAGCTTGAGTTGCAAACTTTAGATTTTTTTTTGCTTTTGTTTCTTATGATGCACTCATACACATCATCTCAGGGTCACGGGGGTGTTTCAGGTCTCGAACATCTGACACCCTCACCTGGGCGACCCAGCCAAGGCTGATCAGATCTCGGCATGTCTATGA